AACTGTTTACTAAGCTTACGATTAAATTTCATATTTGACATCACTAATGAAATCTGACAACAACTGTATCATAAATGTTGTTTATTTTGCTCAAATAGCATTTAAAAAAGCGTATTTTTCAGGCTAGATCAGCCAGTGTGCATGCGCAGTCCTAACCGCACATCTCAGAGCGTTAGCAACCGGGGCTTCTAATGGCAGCTGAAGTGACGCGCTGACTTTACCGATTAGCGATTGGCTCTTTTGCTCAGAAGGCAGGTCGTTGCATTTTTCCCCATTCAAAACTATATGAGTGACATTTCTTGGGTATTCTATAGTCTTTGATTGATAGTAATAAGAAATGGTTCCTGGACAGCAAATCAGCATATTAGAATGTGACACTGAAGACTGGAGTACTGGCTGCTAAAAATGCAGCTTTGCATCGCAGAAATAAATACATTTTAAAATATATTAAAATACAAAACTGTTGTTTTAAATCCTAATAATATTTTACAATATTACTGTATTTTTTATCAAATAAATGCAGCTTTGGAGAGAATGAGAGAATTCTTTTTATAATGCGTCCTTGCCACATAACTTCCTTAATTGTTCAAGCCACCACCATTTCCGAGTTTCCAAATTGTAATTACGAGTTTGACAAAGTTGTGACACTTTTTACTAGCCAGAAACTCATAATTTATAGTAATTCCGACATAGCATAGCAGTTTACATCCAGTTTTGTGACGTTTTGGCCAAGTATGGTGACCCGTGAATACTCAGAATTAGTGCTCTGCATTTAACCCATCCATAGTGCACACACACAGCAGTGAACACACACACCGTGAACACACACCCGGAGCAGTGGGCAGCCATTTATGCTGCAGCACCCAGGGAGCAGTTGGGGTTTCGGTGCCTTGCTCAAGGGCACCTCAGTCGTGGTATTGAAGGTGGGAGAGAGCGCTGTACATTCATTCCCCCCACCTACAATCCCTGCCGGTACGAGACTCGAACCCACAACCTTTGGGTTATGAGTCCGACTCTCTAACCATTAGGCCACGACTTCCCCACAAGTTCCCCACATATTGTTAGTTTTGTTAGCTGTACCAAAACAGTCTGTTAAGTTGCTTGATATTGCAGACTGCTATTTGTTATCATATTATTTTAATATATAATCGTAATCATAAACACACTGGTTTGTATCCCAAATTCTTAGTTAGTTACCTATAGGCCTAGTGGCTAATAAATCGGAAGTCTCGCACATTCACAGTGAATAGCTTACTTCCGTGTTGAAAAATAAGCTGGAGAATGGAGCTTGAATTGCAAACTGAAAGGCGATGATGCTGGACCACCTCCTAAAATGACCCCACCACAAATGTTGGCTCCGCCCACAGCTGAAGCCATGCCCCAACAGCTGCACTTTTGCTCAGACTCTCACCTGACAAATCTCTGGGTCGTTTCCTCAGCTTTGATGCTTATTATTGCAGTCATTCCTGTGTGTCGCTGTTCATTCCCACCACAGCTGGGATTTCTAACAATGGAAAGAGCAGAGCAGTTACTGAGCACTGCTGCATGCCTTTACTTGATTTAGTCATTCTTCAGAGAAAAATGCATCATTTGTGTCTGAGCTGCACCTTTAAGACTGCCTTAGTCCTTTAGGTTAAGAGGATTGTTTGGCTTTACATCTGAGAAACAAAATGTTCATTAGTAAATGTAAAATATTTCCTTGCATTGAAGAAAGGTTTGCTCATTTGGAATCATTTTGCGACATTGTGATGATAATTATTGTTTTTATTAAAATATACTGAATTAAGGAATAACGATCTATACGAATATGATTTTAAATAATCAGATCTGTTCAAATTCACTTGTGGATTTACTTAGTCAAAAGTCAAAATATTTCAGTCATCTTGTGAACATGCTCTTTCTGTAACTGTGCTAAACGCAAATGACGAGTAACAAAAGCATAAAGATTCACAACATTATTACAATAGTGTACTCTTATTGTTAATTTATGTTAAATGGTGATGCATGTTTAAATTAACATGTAAAGTGTGTTTAATTTACTTTTGCATGTTTTCATCCACTAACCCAGCTAACAAAAATATATTCTAAGAACATTTTGTGTTTATTTTATGTTCCCATTAGGTATTGAAAACCTTTTTTTTTTTTTTTTTTTTTACATTTTTTTAAAACTTGTTGCCTTTGAATGTTGAAGTTTAGAAATGTTAGACAAACATCCATACGTGACCCTGGAGCACAAAACCAGTCTTAAGTCGCACGGGTATATTTGTAGCAATAGCCAAAAATACATTGCATGGGTCAAAATTATCGATTTTTCTTTTATTCCATTAGGATATTAAGTAAAGATCATATTACATGAAGATATTTTGTAAATTTCCTACCATAAATATATCAAAACTTAATTTTTGATTAGTAATATGCATGGCTAATTACTTAATTTGGACAACTTTAAAGGTTATTTTCTCAATATTTAGATTTTTTTTTTTGCACCCTCAGATTCCAGATTTTCGGACAAATATTGCCCTAAACTAACAAACCATACATCAATGGAAAGCTTATTTATTCAGCTTTCAGATTAAGTATTAATCTCAATTTCCAAAAATTGACTCTTATGACTGGTTTGGTCCAGGGTCACAAATAATGTTTCAGAAAAATAACTCTATAAACAATGTATAAATAATTTGTGTGTGTGTGTGTGCGCTAACATTTTGAGAACATTGTTAAACATCAAAAAGCTTTGAATGAACATTCTAATAATGTTACTGGATTGTTACATTTGTTCAGATCTTTGAGAGAATCTAGCCATAGTTCTAAGAATGTTATCGCTGGGATGCCAGATGCCAATTTAGGTGAGTATAACCGACTAAAATAACAAATTTGACATTGATTAAATTGAAAGGATATTTCCACCAAAAGGCAAAAACTGTAAAAAATTAACACTGGGGTCTTTTTCTTAGGAGAACATCTGAGAAGAAAGAAACTTCTGGGGCCTGTTTCATAAAACTAGTTTACTAAATAAGCCAGGCTTACTTCAGTTAGTCTGACATATTGTCAGTTGATTTGATTAAAAATAAGTCAGACTAACTGAAATAAGCCTGGCTTATTTGGTAAACTTCTTTTATGAAACAGGCCCCAGCTCTCCATTTGTGTTGCTGTTGAGATTAAAAAGAGATTTCTTTTCTGATTTCTAACATTCATAGTTTTCTACCATACTCCTTATTGATGGTTCACAATGGCATCGAGAGGGTAAAATGTGCTGTTGCAGAAACAAAGCATTCCAGAGTGTCAGTCATAGCCTGTGGAGTCTGAAACTGAAATCCCGGTCACCCGAAGCACAGCTGAAGAAAAGAGCCTCGGCTTCTGGACATGCAAACACTTGTATCATACTTGCACTTTGGCCACAGGTCACATACGCTCACACTCGGGTCAGAAACCAACCCGGACTCGGGGGTGAAATGTCACCAAAAGTGATAAAAATGCCCCAGATAATATATAAACTGCAAACATTCCTCTTTTCTTTTTTTGTTGCCATACTGCTGTTTTATAAAATGTACAGCTCTATCCGTAAATTGGAAAAAATGTTTATTCTCATTAATTTGAATAACATATTTGAATATTTAGTGAACATCTGTTTCTGTTTTGCTAGTCTTTTATCAAATCGTGCTTGAGGCCATGCATTTATTTTTATTTTTTGAAAGAAATACTTTTACTTTTATCCAGTAAAGACACTATTCTATTTCAAACAAATGATGTTCTTTTGAACTTTCTCCTCACCAAGGAATGCATTACAGTTTACACAAAAATATTATGCGGCACAGCTGTATTCAAAAATGATTATATATTAATTCATTAGAAGCAAGTCAGCATATTAGAATGATTTCTGAAGGATCATGTGACACTGGAGTAATGATGCTGAAAATTCAGCTTTGTATCACAGGAATAAATTATATTTTAAAATACATTCAAATAGAAAACAGCTATTTTAAATTGTAATGATATTTTATAATATTACCGTTTTTACTATATATTTAATCAAATAAATTCTGCCTTTTTGAGCAAGAGAGACTTCTTTAAAAATCAACTCAAACTTTTGAACAGTAGTGTATATACCATAGTTTTGTGGAAACAGCTCAGTATTTATTTCAGAATGGCAGGGATGATCTCTCTTCACATTGTGGTCGTATTTTAAGCCAGTGCAACACCCCTGATGACCAGGACCGAGGGAAGAGACAATGCTAAAGAAAAGACTAGATGAGGTCAAGCCCTCTGATCACCATGACAACCACCTTAGCATCTCGTGGAATGTCTAAAGAAAGACTAAAGACTTGTAAAACTAACTCCACCCATATTCCCCTTTGTTTGCCTCGTCTCGTATATCTTGAGCCTGTCTTGTGGCATAAAAGCCCAAACCAGCAGTAGTAGTATCAGCAGAATAGTTCTGTCAGTATCTGTACATCCGCATATCTTTTCAAATTCACTTCACAATGACAGTTCATAATGAACGATTCAGGTCCAAAATGGCCAAGAAGCAGAACGAAATCATAAAAGTAATCCATATGTGGAATAAGCAATGAATTAAAATGTATGAAATTGAAACTAATTGGATTCATTGATGACAAATAAATAAACCTGGTTACTACGCATTTAAAACATTCCGTTTTTATAGAAATCTGTTTCATTTATGTAGGACTGACAAATATGCATCATATGATTTTAAAACTGTCCAAGTGGAAGGAAATTTTAAGTGCAATTCAAACGCACAAATTTTGCATTTAGGCCTAAATACGGATTTTTTTCAAATGAAATAATTGGAAAAGGTGCATAGTGCTTATTGCAGTACGCTTTTAGATTCACTCTCTCTGCAGTCTTGAGGGGAGACATGCAGAAAAGAGTTCGGTGGGTCCTCCTCCCCATAAAAGTGGGAGGGAAATGGGCTGTGACACAGCCTGAGGACGCCGTCTACTTCTGTTGACTCACTTCAGAGTCTGCTTCACTCACTCTCACATCACCTGAGGAACGCTGAGCTGCACACCTGCGCTGCACGCTTGTGGCAAGAGGCTTTGCTGCCAAAGGTGAGTCACTTTTCAACATCTAATAAAAATATGAGCCTTTCTTTTATTGCTGTCTTTGAGCTTTGCATTTTTAGTCGGGTAATTAAGTCTCTATGGAAGGTAATATACTACTATAATGTATAGTACATGCCAAACAGGTTTGTATAAAAAATTATATCAGTGTTAAAGTTTTTATGTGCCCTTGGAAATTGTTAATCGTTTATTGATTCATGTTTGAGGAAAAAATGCATTAATTCACAAAGAAAATAAGAAGATGTGTTTTGCATAAAGACAATGAGAATAAATTATCTTTTTGTATTGCATGTGACATTTTCATGTCATTTAAGCATGCTTTCTTTACCAATTTTTACATTTGCATTATTATAAATGTTTTGTAATGTATTCACCTAAAGGAAATAATGCAACAAATACTTTCATGTTCTGTAAATACTTTTTTGGAAAAAATTCAATGTATTTTTTCCCCCATATTTTTTCACACTAATAAAAATTATTATATAATATTTTGAGGACATTTTTGACTTGCCAAATTTCATATTGCCATTTTATTTATACAATCAATGGCCTTGAACTAAGCTTAATTCTCTTCGTGAAAAATATAACGTTTAATTTTTGTCTTTTGATTTTGGCATGAAATGTGATCTTGCAGAGAAAAAAAAAAAGTGTTTTGCATCAAGAAAATTTGAATAAATTAACTTTTTGTATTGCATGTGACATTTTCATGTCATTTAAGCATGCTTTCTTTACCAATTTTTACATTTGCATTATTATAAATGTTTTGTAATGTATTCACCTAAAGGAAATAATGCAACAAATACTTTCATGTTCTGTAAATACTTTTTTGGAAAAAATTCAATGTATTTTTTCCCCCATATTTTTTCACACTAATAAAAATTATTATATAATATTTTGAGGACATTTTTGACTTGCCAAATTTCATATTGCCATTTTATTTATACAATCAATGGCCTTGAACTAAGCTTAATTCTCTTCGTGAAAAATATAACGTTTAATTTTTGTCTTTTGATTTTGGCATGAAATGTGATCTTGCAGAGAAAAAAAAAAAGTGTTTTGCATCAAGAAAATTTGAATAAATTAACTTTTTGTATTGCATGTGACATTTTCATGTCATTTAAGCATGCTTTCTTTACCAATTTTTACATTTGCATTATTATAAATGTTTTGTAATGTATTCAACTAAAGGAAATAATGCAACAAATACTTTCATGTTCTGTAAATACTTTTTTGGAAAAAATTCAATGTATTTTTTTTCCATATTTTTTCACACTAATAAAAATTATTATATAATATTTTGAGGACATTTTTGACTTGCCAAATTTCATATTGCCATTTTATTTATACAATCAATGGCCTTGAACTAAGCTTAATTCTCTTCGTGAAAAATATAACGTTTAATTTTTGTCTTTTGATTTTGGCATGAAATGTGATCTTGCAGAGAAAAAAAATATGTTTTACATAAAGAAAATGAGAATAAATGATCTTTTTGCATTGCAAGTGACATTATTTTTGTGACATTTAAGCATTGCTGCAATTTTTTTTAAAATTTGTGTTATAAATGGTTTTGTAATGTAATAAAATAAAGAAAATAACAATCAATGGCCTTGAAATAAGCTTAATTCCCCTCATGCAAAATGTTATTTTCCTCTTTTGATTTTGGGGTAAATTGTGATCTGGACATGTTCTTTTCAAGCTTCTATTAATATACTAATATATTATGGTTTTTGCAGGAGTGGCAGTCATGGCTCATACGTTGAGCTGGTCTGTGTTGTGTTTTGTTTTGCTGAGCGTTTGGGCTCAGGATTTCTATGAGGAAAAAACTGGACCAACAAGAGTTAAGACTAGAGGACAGACGGCAGCCGTTCTGCAGAAACACAACGGTCAAGGTGAGGCATCTCTTTGTTGTGTGACAGTATGCATGCATTGTTTTAGTAGAGTAAATAAATTATATAGATGGTCTGTTGTGGATATTGTTGATTTGTAATGATCCAATCAATTGTCAACGGATAAAATCAAGTCCTGACCTACATGTTTTCTTATTGAATATCCTGTTTCACACAAGCTAAAATGGGTTGCAAATGCATTTGATGTTGACTTTACCCATAAATGTGGTTGTTCTTGACACCTAGTAATAAGGATATTCGTTTCTCTTCTTTACTATATGAGCTATAAACTCATGGGTCACCATCAGTGCATCTCATACTGTCTAAGAAACATAAAGCTAGTTCTATGCCTTAAAACATGCAATGTCATGTTAGGACATACTAGACATACTAGCAGCATATTTAAAGGCTGTCTAGGAGGAGGATGTGTCTGGATGTAATGATTTTGGAGCCCTGAGGCATTCAGTTCTCCTAACATGAACATGATTTATTCATATCTGTATAAGAGCCGGTCGGCCATGTCTTGTCACTGGTGACATGAAGACTGATGAGCTGCTGTGTTGAAAGTAAGATCAGATGACAGATTGCATTGCTTCATGAGTCCAAAAAGGATCATTAGGAGACTTGGAGGATTAGTGTTTTTTCTTTTTTCTTTTTTTAAGACGACATTGACATTTTCTGAAACATTGTGGAATAATGTAACTTTTTCAGGAAAAAAAAAGACAAATAGCTAGATAAATGGCAGGGCTGAGCACTATTCAGAAACTATTCAGAAGTGAATTTGCCTTTTAAATTCCCAATTTTATTGAAGTTGTATAAGGCTGCAGTCGGTCTACTTTTTGATTGTTTTTAAATAAATTAACTTTTATTTTATAGATCAGTTCATTATGAACAATGATCTAATTTATTTTACAAAAAGTTATAATTTATTCAATTTACTCAATATGTATATTTATGTAATTATATAATGTAATTTACTTAAAATATTATGTATCTAATTTATCTAATTTTCTCAGTATATATAATATATCTAATTTATTCAATATTTTATAAAATATTAATTTTTCTTAATATGCATTATGAATGTTATCTTACGCACAACATATGAGATATTTCCGGTAACACAAACACACACATTATTTTATTATTGACTAATATATTTTATTAATTTTTTTATATATAATAAATTGACTTTCACTTTATAAAACACTTAATTTCTCACAATGGTCTAATTTACTCAATATATTATGAAATATTACATATCTATTTATGTAATTTACTCAATATATGTAACATGTAATTTACAAAATATTTGATAAAATATTATATATTTATTAAATATATCAATTTTTTATATTTATTTATTTTTTTAAATCTGAAAACAAAGTGTTGGCCATTTTGTGGTGTTGATAGCTGTGTTACTTAATGACAATATTAAACTTAGTACAGAGAAATATGCTGAATCATATTCTACATATCAGGGAATAACTAGTCAAAATGAATCATGTATTTACTTATGTTTTGTCACAAAACATATGGTGGACTAATGAATTTCCTTTGTTGTTTGACTGTGTTCGAATTGCAACTCAATAAATTCCTGCCTATCCAATCAAAATAAAAAGGAGTCATTCTGAATTTACCCAACTGTATAATAGTTGAATCTTTCTTTGACACTGCTCCTTCCCTTTTTTTCCCATGCTGTGGCCTCAGCCATCTTGGACGAGGACTGTGTTCTAGAGTTGGCCTTCCTGCTGGACAGCTCTGAGACGGCCAAGGACAACCACCAGCAGGAGAAACAGTTCACTATGGACATTATAGAAGGCCTCCAGAGCATCCGCTTGGACACAGCTCGCAAACTCAGCTGGAGAGCGGCCCTGCTTCAGTACAGCAGCCACGTCATTATCGAGCAGACCCTCCAACAGTGGAAAGGCTCGGAGAACTTCAAGAGCAGCATCGCGCCGATGGCCTACATCGGCCACGGCACTTACACCACCTATGCCATCACCAACATGACCAAGATATTTCTGGAAGAATCGAGCCCTGAAAGCATCAAGATCGCCCTGCTCCTCACAGATGGGACTTTTCATCCCAGAAACCCTGATATCTTCTCTGCTATGGCTGACGCAAAGAACCAGGGCGTGAAGGTCTTCACGATTGGCATCACCCGTAGTGCCAATGAACCTGCCAACACAGCAAACCTGAGACTGCTGGCCAGTACGCCGGCCACCAAATTCCTCTATAATCTACAGGACACGAACGTCATGGAAAAAGTCATAATTCAGATTGTAAGTATGGTTTCGCCAATCACTCATTCTGTTCTCATACTGTATGCATAGGCAGGCCCACACAAAAATCTTCACAAATTTCTTAGAACTGCTCAAATTATACTCATTCCAGCAACTTGAGTATATTTGTGTTCATTATTTTGGCTTCAGCTACCAATAAGGGTATATTCAGCTTCATTTATTACTGTTTACCATGTTTAAATCCAGATTTTTTTTGGTAAAACTATTTTAAGGTGTCCTTGTTACACATGTTACATTGTACTTTCTATTATAACAATACATTTGATAAAACGGAGAGTTCCGGTCCTTGACTCTGATTGGTTGAGCCAAGTTCAAAGCTGTTGTAAATTAATCTACAAACATAACGTGCGTCCCAAATCGCGTACTTATGCACTATTCTATGACGTTTTGTAGTATAAATAGTGTGAGTAGTGCGTTCACACTGAAAATTCCAAAAAGAAAAAGTGCACTTTAAATACCCGGGTGATGCACTTAAGTAACCGAAAAAACAAAGTGTGGAATGTTGGACACTTCATGCACTCAACTGTCGCAGCTTTAATTACGTAACGAAGGGGGAGGGGCTATCAGACTCCGATTATAAATGACAAAATAACCTTATATAATTCATTCACTACATGATTGAGTACATAGTGCATAAGTACATAGTGTATGAGTGCATAGTGTATAGTGCGTCATTTGGGACGCAGCTATAACCTTTGTTTACTTCTGTGTGTTTCTCGGCTATATATGGAATAACCGTTTTATAAAAGCAATAAGCCCAGTGAAGCCGTGGTTTACAGTGAATTTATAACAGCTTCGCGTTGTGCCTAACAATGCCCCTTAGCTGTTATAAATTCACTGTAAACCACGGCTTCTTGGGGCTTATTGCTTTAATGCATAATTACGCGTTAAGCCAATCCCTAATCCTACCATATAGTAAGTAAATGTACACTGTAACAAGGACATCTTAAAATAAAGTGTAACCATTTTTTCCTTAAAATGAGTTCAGGAAATGCAAAAAGTCTCCTGATTCTGTCTGGGCTTGTTCAAGAGTGAAGGCGTTATAAGAGTTACAAGCTACTATAACACTTCTCCAGCAGAGAAGCAGCCAACTAACATAGTAGAGCTCTGTGTACACGTTTGGGCATCTATACAGATTTCCAGATTTCATTCCATTTCAATTCACAACTTCCATTTTAGTTCCATTATTTGACTTGATTTATCATACATTTTTGATGTATCATACATTTTCACACAGCCAATTAATAATATAAGCTTGAAAAGGGTGTGTCCATTTTAGACTGATTCAAACGGTAACTAACTGCTGAATCTTTGTGAACTAATGTTTTTTTTTGCTCTGGATATTAGTATTGTTTGCTCTGTATGTTTTTGATTCACTAAAAAGAACTGGTTCAAAAGAGTCATCTGGAATTCCAAACATGGTTCTAGTTCAAGGATGTGGTCAATTCAATCCAAATGCACACCCATGACTCAGTTCTTAAAATTCTTTCAAATTGACTAATTGTTATATACTGTTTCTTTTAGTTTGATCTTCTTTTACATTATTATTATTGGGTCCATTCAGATGATCCCTCAGACTGATTCAAACGTCTGAATCTTTTTGAATGATTCATTTAAAGAACTGAGTTGACTCATAAGAGTTATTTGTTGTGCTGTGTATTGGTTCTGCGGTTTGATTCACTAAGAATCAAATTACCGATTCAAAAGAGTTATTCTTATGCTGTGTATAAAACGCAGACAGAGTAAACAGTTCATGTTGGGATTTTCAAAAATGATATGGAGATCGTTCAAAATGAATATCAAAATGAATAATTGGAAAATCAGTTTGCTGGTCTTAATTGGCCTGGTTTTTATGGTTGGACTTGCCATTTGGCCAGGCTGGGAGACCTGCTAAACCAGTTTAAACCAGACAAGACCAGCTAACCACATTTGACACTGTATTTGATAAGTATTTGGACACACAGAAGATACAATAATGATGTGCTGTTTTTCTAGTGTTTTGGGACCCCTGACACCTAAAGATTAGCCTTTCTACACTTCATTTACTATAACTAGAGTAAACACGTCCTGTTGTTGCTTTTCTGACATGCATCTGGGTTTATATATTCCATAAATCCTTGTTGTCATTCCTGCTGTTATACTGATATATATCCTGCAGGTTTAATTTTTCTCATTTGTACAGAAACACTTTGATATAATTCCAATGGAAAGCAAGACTAGGCATGTTAAATGATACCATTTCCTTTAATCACATTTGTTGCTCTGGGAGATTTGTATAATGTATGGCCTGATATTAACTGTTCGTACTGTTTACCCAAACCGCACAAATGAAAGGCTTGCCAAAGAGCAGCAATTATAATATAGCAGCTAAAATTTGGACAGAATCTAATTTTCTTCGTGTTACTCTCTACACAGGCTCAGCTGGCAAACGATGGGGTAAGTAAATAATATTAAAAGTCTTTTATGGTAATATGCATTACTGCAGTGTTGAGGAATAGCTAATTATTCTCCCATATTCTTATTGGGTAGAGTAAGAAAGTCTGATTCATTCTATTGAACCAGTTCACTTGGATTAGCAAATGAAATAAACAGATTTGAAAGATGACTCACTGATGTGAGTTATATTATGTAAACAAAATCTTTTATTTTGGATGCGATTAATCGCGATTAATCGTTTGACAGCACTAATAATTATTTTACATTTATTTTACACACGCACACACACACACACTACTTTATAGTGTATATATACTGTATACAATGTGTGTGTATGTATATACATATTATTAATGACTCAAGTTCAGTTATTTGCAAATGTGAACTAATTACACATTTGTACTAATTATTAAAGATAAAAATATTAAATCTATAAAAAAAATGACCATGTTGGTGGTGATGTCATTTCCTGTTTTCTGGTTTTCTGGTGATACAATTTTATTACATAACACTGACTTTTATTTGGACAAAATTCATTTTTATTTCAAAACAAAACTGTAACATTAATTATTAAGTTTAAGTTAGTTATTAAGATTAGGTGTTTTACACCATCTAGACATTTTTGAGACTTTAAGCAAAAAAAACCCAATAAAATTTATCTTAATTCACAAATTAAAATGTGTTGTCAAGTATATATGTATTGTATGTATGAATTGCATTTTTTTAAAAATAATTTAATAGATCCAGACAGTAGATTAGTGTCACATGATTGACCAATATGCAAGAATAAACTTAAAAAACTAAAAAATAATAAATACATACATACATACATAAAGTCTTCCTGTTTTGTTCCCAGGGGAAACCAGGCTACAAAGGAGAGAAGGTACTAAACCCCTGCACCTATTCATAATATATTTATGTGGAAGCATAAGAGACTGTCACGACTATGATTTTTTCTGACCATCTACAGGGTGAAAGAGGAGAATGTGGCACTCCAGGAATCAAAGGAGACCGAGTGCGTAACCCTTCAGAAGTTACAGTTTCTGCACACTCCTCCAATATGTTGTGAACACAATAATACAGTATACGTTTCAAATGCTACATTTGTTTATATTGTACCATCTGATAGGGTCCTGAAGGTCCAGTTGGTACTCAAGGGTCCAGAGGTCTGCAGGTGGGTCTGATACATTTATTTCATATTTATTTTAAAATATAACATCTGTCTTTTTATTTAAACATATGCGTATGTAAAATGTTTAATCACATTGTTTACTGTTTACAGTTGTTTTCTTTTAAAGCCATACTGTTGTTTAAAGCCTTTAACCTTTAAACTGTTGCAACAAAAAAAGTGTAAATTGTTTAAAAGTAAATCCTACACCAGATTCTTTTTTAGTGTGTAGTTAATTGACAGGTGAATAGGTGGTCATTCGTTTTTGAATATGCAAATGTATTTGAGTGAGCCGGTTACACCTGTATTTAGCATTGACCGCTTGCATTTAGATAACCTGAGACAGCTGTTTGTATTTCAAACTAAAAACTTTCCATTGATTTATTTCAAACTAAATCTGAATTTTTTTTGAAAAATGCTTGTTTCCAACACAAGATTAACAAATATAAAAGGTAATAACGGTGACATTTTATATCACAATGAGAACTTTTTTTCTAGTCATTCTGAGTTTATATCTCACAATTCAGACTTTTGTCTTGCAATTCGGAGAAGAAAAAAAACAGAATTTCCAGATGTAAACTCAGAATTGTGATATATAAGCTAAGAAATGTGTGATAAATTAATTTGGAGTTTATATCTCACAATTCTGACTCTTTTTTTCTCTCACAAATTCCGAGAAAAAAAGTCAAAATTGTGAGATATAAACTAATATAAAGTAAAACTAATATAAACTAATATAAATAAAAAGGTTTCCTAATTTTTTATCCCGTGGTGGAAACTGGCTTCAATATATTTCAAAGGAGGTAAATGTTAAAACACACGTTGAATTTCCCCCAACATATGATTAAACGTACATTTTACTGTATTGTAAAGCAGCATAATGCTTTGGTGTCTACAGATAATGTCCTAGAGACTCAAATGTTCATGCTAGACACTGTAACACACCCTTTCATGTTTCCCCTGCAGGGTTTACCAGGACCACAGGGTGACATCGGACCAGAAGGCCCACAGGCAAAGAAGGTATGTGGCTCATAATCACAAACCATTATCCTGAAAATTTCAGCTCATTATATTTAACACGCACACCTGGAAAAGTTTCACTGTCTCCCATGACTCCAGAAGCCGTTGCTTATTCTGCATGCTATTGTGCATGAGAAACCCCACGCACTATCCATTAGATAAAATCCATTAGAATGTTCTGGCCAAAATGAAATTGAAATTGATGCATTCACATTTCTTTTTGGGTTAGGTTAGGGTTAGGGAAAAAGGAATTATAATTTATGTCCATTTCTGACTAAATGATGCACTCTGAAGGTAGCAGGAGGTGCAGAATAGAGTTTTAGAATTTCACTCCATTATGTTTCTAGGCCTTGACAAGGACAGTATGATATATGTAAATATTTTATGCATCCGTTTACAATGCATTTGAGATTTTCTTACACTCTTAAAAATAAAGGTGCTTCAAAAGGTTCTTCAAGCGATGCCATAAAAAAACCATTTTGGTTCCACAAAGAAGCATTCAGTCAAAGGTTCTTTAAAGAACCATCTCTTTCTTACCTTTTTATAATCTGAAGAACCTTCTTTCGCCACAAAGAAACTTTTGTGATACAGAACGGTTCTTTAGATGTTAAAGGGGTCAAAAGCTGCTAAAAAGAACATTATTTTGTGTATTTGGTGTAATGAAAGCCGTTTTAGGAGGGCGTGGCTGACTCTGAACTTTTATAAAGAATAGCTCTTTGGATTTGAGACTTTAGTCTTTGCAACTTTACAGATCTTCTTTATGCACCAAGAGCTTGTAACACTCCAAAGAGAAAGGAAAAATTGAAATCGCATCATATGACCCCTTTAAAGGTTCTTTATGGAACCATTTAGACAAAAAGGTTCTTCTATGGCATCGTGAAGCACCTTTATTTTTAAGAGTGTACTTGTTTTAGTTATAATTTTAAAGGAATAGTCCATCCAACAATTAATTTCTTTCATTATTTACTCCTCATGTTGTTCTAAACCCGTATGCTATTATTATTATTTTTCAGTGGAATACAAAGGAAGTAACAACAAATATTTAAAAGTTAATAACACTTTTCATTTGTTTACATACAGAAAGCTATAGACCTTAATCATATTGATTTTTACATGGATAAAAACAAAGCTGTGAGGGACAGACTTACAGTCTTTACAATGGCATGCACTGTATCAAGGTCCTCCAAGATCACGTCATTTTCACAGCTCATAACTTTCAAAACTGTTTTTTGGAGTTTTTATATACTGAGAGATTTTTCAGAAAGAAGTTTCGTCAGCTGAATACACGTTAGTATGCTCTTAAACAATAGTACAATACATGAAACACACAGTACTTTTATCCCTAACAGCCTCGTTTTCATTCCTGTCAAAATGACCCTGACAATGGTCTATTGCATGGCTTTAGAAATCTTGGCATGAGTCATATGGACTATTTTTATGGCTCTTTAATGGTGCTTTTTTTTTTTTACATTGACTTTGACTATGAACTATTATTATATTGAAAATAGATGCAATTCTTTGATTCTTTGAGTCATTGATTCCAATTGAAAAAAATATGAAAAAAAGAGGATGAGTAAATAAGTTATTTGAATTGTTAGGTGAACTAATCCTGTATGTTAGACCAAATCCTCTGTGTCTTCTTTCAAAAGAGACCATGGTTATGTCTGCAGTGCAAAGGGTTCACAAACTGCATCCAGTTTAGTATAAGCATGCCTTGCACTTATGCTCAAAAAGGGGGCGAAGATGAATGAACGTGTTTTGACATGTTTTGGATTTCCTTTAATAGAGGTCTGCTGCTCTGCCAGTAGTTTCCCCTTGTTTAATTTAACTGCAGGAAGCATTCAGAGGTTTAGACAGCTCTGCAGATGTCCTCACTAATTAGGGATCCTTCTTCATACATGCACAGGTTCACAAAACTAGTGTCACAGACCGCCATGAAACAAATGGTTTTGTACTTCATCATCTAAAAATAGATGATACCGTGATAATAAACAGTCATTATTATTTTAAATAATAATCCTTACTCCCTGAGGTTAAAAGTCAACCAGTGAGATGCTAGAAAGTGCTTGTCAGGTCACCAAATGGACTATGGGTGGTCTGAGATTATTGTCTTGGAAGCTAATAACAGTAGAAATGTGCATGATGGAAAAATGCTGTGCAAAGTATAAATTCATGCACAGACATGCAGGTGACGTGAACGAAGAGAATTTCCATCCTGTGGAAAGGCAGCACACTAAGGGGATATTGTAAATGTCATGAGCAGATTTGTGACTGCTTGCACTGACCTACTTGATTAAATTGGATTGTACTTTGCATTTTCTGACAACAGTTCCTCTCTATATTGTTCAACTCCTGGTTGAAAATGAAAGGAATAGTTCACCCAAAAATGAAAATTAGTTGAAAATGTACTCACCCTCAGGCCATCCAAGATCATGTAGATGAGTTTGTTTTTTTTCATGGGAACCGATTTGGAGAAATGTAGCATTACATCACTTGCTCACCAATGGATCCTCTGCAGTGAATGGGTGCCGTCAGAATGAGAGTCCAAACAGCTGATAAAACATCACAATAATCCACAAGTAATCCACATCACTCCAGTCCATCAATTTACATCTTATAAAGTGCAAGGCTGCTTGTTTGTAAAAAAGCAAATCCATCATTTACACGATTTTACTATAAATTGTTACTTCTGGCCAAAATACAAGGCTATAATCCATAATAACACTTCTACAGATGGTGCAATGCTACTTAAGCAACCTAAATATGGACAGGCATCGTAAATAATTTAACGGTTCTGGTTCCGACTTTAATTCCCCGATTACAAAGACTACATTTAGTAGTTC